CAGAGAGAGAGAGAGAGAGAGAGAGAGAGAGAGAGAGAGAGAGAGAGAGAGAGAGAGAGAGACGTTTTGTGGTGGTGGGTTTTTTTTCAAATTCTAAAACGTCTCAGACTTGCATCCTTTTATTTTTTTAGATTCCACCAATGGTCAACTATTCCATGGAAGGGAGAACTTATCGCTACTTTAAAGGAGATCCGTTGTACCCGTTTGGCTATGGCCTCTCCTACACCCAGTTCGTATACTCCACTATGACATTACGTTGGGTAAATGTCAACGCAGGGGGCGATCTTGAACTGCAGCTGGCTGTCACAAATGTTGGGCCTGTTGATGGTGATGAGGTAAGCAGAAAATAGTAGTTTGTTTTACTTTGCTTTAGTTAGCGTTTTACGGCACTTGCAGCACAATTAGGTCACGTAAGTGATGAAGTATGAGGTGTTACAAGAGAGAAACAAATACAAAAAAGATGTAGAAGAGATAATGATGGTAATTGGTTCTTAGGAAAGAAGGTGAAAACCACACCAGAGCACCCGCCAACCACCCACAAGAACAGTATTGATTTAGTAGAACTTTTCAAATTTGTACATCGAGGAGTAGGTTTAAAAGATGTATTTTTTTAAAGAGATGCATGCCTTTTACTTCCCAATCGACACAATTTTAGATCGTTTAATGGGGTGAGCTTCGGCACTGCTGCCAGCACCAACCGAGGTGAAATGTGAGGCAGCGTGGTGGAATCAGGCTCTCGTCAATTTTTTAGCATGTAGAGTTATTGGTATCATCTTATAGCTTGTTCACTTTTCTTTATTTGGATTAAAAAAGTATCCATTTATCTTGAATACATGTCTGTTACTATAAATATCGGCCTATGTCTCCACCCTACACCTTTGTGACTTCCACAGGTGGTCCAGTGCTACATCAGCTGGGCCGACACGACCTTGCCAGTCCCCCAGTTGCAGCTGGCTTACTTCACTCGTGTCTTCATCCCATCCCAGCAGACGAGGATGTTGTCTATAACCATCTCTGGAGAGTCCATGGCTTTCTGGCGAGATGGTCAATGGCTCGTTGAAGATGGTAAGCAGCAGTGCATAGGCCTACAGTAACAGTATTTAGCTTTACTGTTTATGAAATCAGCCCTAAAATGAGATGAGAGCTAACTTTTTTTATACACAGTCGACTCCATTTGTACTGGACTCTCTTGAGTTGATCCTGGGTGAGGCTGATATTTTTCTCGGGTCCCAGCAACTCTTCTCGGAAAACATTACTAAATCGGAAGAACTATAGAGGAAAATGAAAGACTCAATAATGGAAGCTGTGGAAGAAAATATCCCCCCGAAAGCTATAAAAGCTAATAAAAAATGGATGACCCAGGACATATTAAAACTAATGGAAGAGAGAAGAAAGGCAAAATCAAATGTGGAAAAGTACAACATCTTAAACAGGGAAATAAAGAAAAAATGCAACGAAACAAAAGAAACATGGATAAAATTATCAGTGTCAACAAATAGTGAAGAACCAAAACAAAGACAGCAAATACATGCATTCCAAAATCAAAGAAGTTAGTGGGATAAAAGGATGCTCAAATACAGGATGCATAAGATCAAAGGGGATATTTTTAATGGACAACGGGGATGTCTTAAACAGATGGTCAGAATACATAGAAGAACTTTTCAAAGATAATAGAGGAGAAAAACCGGTAATAAAGAATGAAATAAATTGACCACCAATACTGAAAGCAGATGTACAAGCTGCCATTAAGAAAATGAAACAAGGAAAAGCCGCAGGGCCAGATAATATTCCAGTTGAAGTGATTGTCGCGCTTGAAGAACTAGGCACTGAAATAAACACAAAGCTCCTAAATGCTATTTATGACAGCGGTGAGATCCCAGAAGATATCATGAAGTCCGTTTTTATAGCTTTACCTAAAACACCAGGCGCCACTGAGTGTGATATGCATAGAACAATTAGCCTTATGGGTCATTTTACAAAAATATTGCTGCGAGTAATAATGGGAAGATTGAGAAAAAATGTAAGACCAGAGATATCTAAAACGCAATTCGGCTTTGTTCCTGACAAGGGCACCAGAAATGCTATATTCACCTTCACAATGTTAATGGAAAGATGTATTGAAGCACAAAAAGATCTGTATTTATGCTTCATAGATTATTCAAAGGCGTTTGATAAAGTTAGACATGATGAGCTATTTAAAATACTGGAAAAGCTAGACATAGATGGAAAAGATCTAAGAATTATCAGAAATTTGTAGTGGGACCAAAACACTGCTGTAATTAATGGAGAATACAGTGAATATAAGCAGATCAGGCGAGGAGTGAGGCAAGGATGTGTTATGTCACCAGACCTCTTTAACATGCACAGTGAAACAATCCTTAGAAACATAGAAGAATGTCCAGGCCTCAAAGTAAATGGAGAAAATATTAATAACAGCAGGTATGCAGATGACACAGTTTTAATAACAGGCTCCGAAAAGGACCTTCAATTGCTTCTAAATACTGTTGTAACAGAAAGTGAACGTAGAGGATTATAATTGTTGAATGTAAAGAAAACAGAATGCATTGTAATATCCAAAAAAGCAGCAAACCCTAATTGCAATCTCATTAGCAAAGGTGAAAAGATCAAACAAGTCCATCAGTTTAAATATCTAGGATATATTATGATAACATCTGACGCCAAATGTTCCACGGAAATGAAAAGGAGAACTACAATGGCTAAGGCTAGTTTCAATAAAATGAGCCCAATCCTGAAAAATAGAAACATCTCAATGAACACCAAAATGAAAGTCCTGAAATGCTATGTTTGGTCAACCCTTCTATATGGCTGTGAATGCTGGACTAAAGACAGTGAAAATAAAATAGAAGCAGTAGAAATGTGGTTCTTTAGGAGACTGTTAAGAGTATCGTGGAAGGAAAAGAAATCAAATGAGGTAGTGCTTGATGAAGCCCACGTGGGACACTCAATTTTAAAAACAATCAGGAAAAGACAAATGCAGTTTTTGGGACACTTGAATAGACATAAGGGTCTTGAACATCTAGCGCTCAATGGCAAAATTAAGAGCAAGCGAGGCAGGGGTAGGCCCAGAACAACATGCTTAGGGAACCTAAACAAATGGGTGACAGGGAAAGATCAGGGAAACGTAGCTTTTTTTGAGAGCATCCGAGCAAAGGAATGAATGGAAAACCATGATCACCGATGTCTGTCGCAGATCTGGCACTGGATGATGATGATGAATTGCAGGGGTCGGACTACTAGTTACTCGCCGGAAGTAGTCATAGGTATCGCTACTCGGCGGAAGTAATTGCAGGGGTGGGACTAATTGCTACGCGCTGTGAGTAATTGCTGGGATCGGACTCATTACTACTCGCCGGGGGTAATTGCAGGGGTCGGACTAACTGCTAATTGCTGTATATATCATCATGATGCTGGCTAGGGGTCGAAGCCACAAGAAGAAATCGTAAGAGCCATTGGAAGAAATCCCATCACTTGCTATAATCAATGATAATATATAACAAGATGGGCCACTCAGCCAAAAAAGTGTCCGCAGGAAGTATGCTATTTGCTTCAGATGGCGCTGCAGTCTGTTTTGAAGCTCTCTTTCGTTTTTCCAGAAGAAGAATAGGAATAGCACCTCCCTGCGTGCGCAGATCGACTGCTGTTCATCAGCAGTTCGGGTACGTTCAGTGCGGAGTTTTAGTTTTTAAAAAAATTTTAATGACCTCTCGCCTTTCATTCTAAAGTCAAATTAAACAAAGAAAACAATCACCCTTTCCTCCGGAAGAGGTTTTTTTGTCAGCGTAACCATTTTAAAAAAGCGTTCTTCCGAAATTTATCCCAAAACTTGCTAGTTTCACTTTGATTTTTTAAAACTCAAGTAGGGTAACTCTGTTCGCAAAAGGTGCGCTTTTGTGAAGAGGGCGCCACCAAATTTTGAGGACACTTTTTTAATTGGCTCAAAGAGAGAAGTGGCCCATCTTGTCTTGTACTATCTTTGCTTTGACAATCGGGAATCCTTGGTTACCGAAAAAACAACAACAACGGAATCGTCCACCTCTAGTTTAAAGTGAGGAAGATTAATTAGGCGTTGTCGATCACACTGCCAATTAGGCGTTGTCGATCACACTGCCTGGCCCGAGACCACCATAGAGTATTGCTGCCTTAAGCTGACAAAACGCCTTAAAATAAGTTTCAAGAAGAAAAAAAGGCTTTTTGTCAGTGTAGCCGGTTTTTTTAAAAACCGTTCTTCCGAAAGCCGAATTCTACTTTATTCAAAAAGTAATAAGTTTCATTTTAATTTTTTTTCACACAAGTACAGGGTGTATCTGATCAGGCTTTCGATTCAACAAATAATTTAATTTTTTTAAACCGCACCAAAAACTTCAAAAAGGAAAAAAAGCGTTTTGTCGGAATTCGGCGGTATTGCTGTTAGTATTAGCAAAATCCTTTTTAATAGGCCTAATGAAGTTTTTGTCTTTTCTGTACCTAGGTGTGATGTATCTGTACTGCGGGGGTCAACAACCCAACCAGAAGAGGAAGGTGCCGTCCAACGTGCTCTCTACATACTTCTATATCGTTGGCTCCAAAGTCATGAACATGTGGCTCCAAAGTCATGAACATGTAGTCCCCAGCTTGATACATGTAGACTTCATTCATGCACAGTGGCTTAATTATACTTTAAAAAGTCAGTACATGTATTTTAACAGTGATGCTATCTTTATCAACATTGCTGCTGCTGCTGCTGCTGCTGCTGCTGCTGTTGTTGTTGTTGTTGTTGTTGTTGTTGTTGTTGTGTTGTTGTTGTTGTTGTTTTGATCTTTAATATACTACATGGTAGTTTGTATCTGCTTATAATCATTATACACTTGTAAGTGTGCTAACTTTGCAATACTTGCTGCGTTTATAGAGAGCCGATTATTTTCATACAAAAATGAACGTTATAGTTTTGTTTTGAAAAGACTCCTCTTTGTGGCATAAAATAAGGAGTCACGTGTACATGTACATTGTAGTCTAAACGATGACACCAAAGTGATGTTGAAGTTGTATATCAGTACTGCTTCTCCTTTTAGAAGTTTTCTATTAAAAATTTTCTATTATTATGTTGCTATTTTTGTTTTGTACTTTTTACTTAATACATTCTTATTTTGACTTACAATTAAGTTAATCTAAAGTGTTACCATATCATTTTCAAGACTTCTATACCTCCCTTCATGTGCCGTGTGTCGTGTTCATTGAGAATATAAATTATCTAAAGGTTAATAAAAAGATCCGAAAGAGTAGCGGGCCAAGATCTTTAACTCCTAAAAGAAAGATACCTCAACTAATTTTAAATATATTTCTACCCTATGTCATAACACACACAGAGACACCAACAACGGCCTCTATCTAAACATTCTTTTTAAATATAAAAAATACGGAGATTTGAAAAAAAATAACACCCCAGCCCTGGCCATTTGGTCGCCACGCAACTAAGTTGCTAGAATCTAGATTTAAAAAACACAAAAACAAAAACAATAAAAGGCGTATACATACGTGTTTCACTTATAGAACTGTTTATCTGTCTTTTACTGTCTCTCCCGTTTCACTTTTAGCTACTATAGGAGTTTTAATATTTTCAGTTGGTAGGAAATTTTGAATTTTGCCCGGGTGGCGGCCGAAGCCTATTCTTATCGATTTTAGACCACCAAGGGTCCTTAACGTGCGCAACTTGCACGCGGGCCCCCCGAGATTTTTCGCCCTTGTCCGAGAAGGTAGATCTTTCCTAACAGAAGATCATGGGTGTGGCTGAAAGACAGCAGTAAGAAGAAGCGAAGGAGTAGCAGTAGAAAGGCTGCAGAAAGAATCAGGAGCCCAGAGGAAGGGGCAAAGGAGGAGAGGGGGCGGGGGCAGAAAGAGGAGACGAAAGCAGACGACAGAACATTGCTAGAGAGCAGGAAATGAGGTGAAAGGAGACAAATTTAGAGAAGAAAAAATTTCGGTCGCTACCCGGATTCGAACTCGCTATTATTGGATTAATAAACCTTGATGAAAAAGAGTATTTCGAAAAAACATGTGTTTTTTTTAACGGGGAAATTCAAATTTTATGAAAGTGAACCTCAAAAAAAAAAAAAAAAAAAAAAATTACAAAAAAACCACCCAAACAAAGGACATTATTTTTTATTTCAAAAGAGAAAAACCAACAATCCCACCCCTCGTAATTGAACTAGAAATAATTGAAATCACGGATTCATAGAAATACATGTATCTTGGTCTTACAACCGACAATAAATTTACATGGCAAAATCACGTAAACAACACCGTTAAAAAGATAAATCAGAGTATACTTTCTGAGAAAACTTAGGTCTTTCAATCTGAATCCATCCATCCTTCAGATATTCTACACCACCACAATAGAAACTTTGATAAATTTTGGTATCACTTGCTAGGGTAGAAATTCGGAAAGGCAGCACATCATAAAAATAAACAAGTTGATCAGATAAGGCATCAAGCAGATAAGGCATCAAGAATCAAGAACAATAATGGTAGAGACCTAAGTAACTTTGAATATCTGCACAAGACAAACGTTCTAAAAAAAGCGGAAATAATGCTTAGTGACCATTAAGCCACCCACTCATATCTGAATTTCGACTATCGACCCCGCAGTAAACGATACATTTCCAAAAAAGCAAGAACAGACAGATGTATAGAAATTCATTTGTACCAGCAACTGCGAGAGAGAATGTCTTACGGAGCGGGTTGTCCCAGCACGTGAGACATTATATAGGCCTACTAATGTCATGTCTTAATTGTGCGTATGCGTGAGTACACCGAACATTTGTAATGCCTACTGCCATTGTTAACGAACAAGACAAATTTCTCCCAGCGAGAAGAATAAGGATTGTCATTGTCATATCAACGATTTCAAGTTGTTACAGCATTTAACAGAAAAAACATTCAACTATGATTGCTCAAATATGCCCAAGGGCAGAAAAGAAATTTAATTACATGTTTATACATGGGGTCTGTTAATATATATTATAGATCCAAACGCTATAAGCTGTTTCAACGTTTAAAGAGAAAGGGCATTCAACAACGTTTGCCCAGTAGCAAGCAAAAGGTAGAAATGGAAAGACATTTGGATATTATGGGGCCTATTGAACATATTATTATTATTATTATTATTATTATTATTATTATTATTATTATTATTATTATTATTTCATTGCAATAGTCCAAGACCGACAGCTCGACAACTATCAGCTATTCTCAAAGGCTCAAAGGCTCAAAGGGAATCCTTCTCAAAGAGAGGGGATGAAACTGCCATATTGGCGCATCCCCAAAACATTATTATCATTGCACGATGAAAACATTGATGTGATGTTATCTTTAACTATATCTGCACTCATAAAAAGATTGAATAACCCTATGTGAAGTTTTATTTCTATTTTTCTTGTCTACACGACCACCACCCCCTCCCCGCCTTTCCTCCTCCGATCAATAAGTTTCAATAACCTGAATAACGTGATACTGTGCGAAAGGTTCAATTTTTCCCGTGAGTAGTTCTTTCCTGCTTTAAAATTTATACAAGTGATTACATGAAATAAAGAAGTAAATTAATTTTGTTTGGAAACGGTGTCATTTCAGATTAAGATCATTTATTCTAAATTGAGTTTTGAGCACAGAATTCTACACTTAGTGTAGAATTCTGTGGTTTTGAGACGCTTCAATTATGTTGACTGGTTGACAGATAACAACAGGCCAAGGAGATTAAAAGTTCTAAGCTTCTTGCAACAGGCTTCTCTACCTGGCAACCTCTGATCAAGCAAAAACTAGAAACAACTTTCGCTTTCGGGCAGGCCTGGGCATTATTCGCTTTTTAAAAAACCGAATAAATAGGTACCTGTTTCTATAAAAATCCGAAT